TGATCGTCTCGGCTCGGTGTGCGTGGGAGGGAGAAGTTCTTACGGGACAGGAGCGGGTGGCAGGGCAGGATTTGGCAGCAGAGGTGGGAGATCACATGAGGGACACGGCGGCTGGAGGTGGGGAAGCTTTTCCTGCAGCCTCCCACTCCTTCCCGTCTTCTGTCACCCCATGGCAAGGGGCACGTTGGGAGCTGCTCCCCCATCTCCTGCCCGGTGACAAACCCGGTCCAGCTGGGGGATGTTTCCACACGGGGTGTCCTACTTCTGCTTGCTGGTGGCCGGGAGTTGTGCAAGAGGAATGACTGACCTGAAAAGCCCCTCCTGACACATCTCCTCACCTGACCGTGCCTATGAGAAAACCCTTCCACAAGGCCTGGGCACAGAGGGTGACATTATTGCTCTTCCAAAGCACAGTCATGCTGAGATGAGGCCCCCCCAATCCTTCTGTCTTCCTCTCACAACCATCAGCACTTAAATGTATTGGATGTCCATGGGTTGACCCTGGAGCGGTAAAGAATCCCACACCACCAGCAATCCCTGCTTTCACCGCCCCCTTTGCCTGGCCCAGGCCATGGGTTGGCAGAAGGTGGCATTGCCCACTGCTCCCCGTGTAGCTCTGATGCTCAGCTGCAGTGACAGGAGTGCTGGAGGTGCAGGATGACCACAGAAACACCCAGCAGGGAACCATCACCAAGCGTGTCCCAGCAACCAGGAGCCACAGCAGCGAGGCAGCAGCAGCACAGGGGAAGGATGAAATGCCAACCTGGGAGGTCACAACCAGTGCTGAGAGTGCCCAGCACCGGCTGCTGCACCTCTGTGCACGTCATGTCACTGGAGGGAGGCTCCAGATGACCCAACAAAACACCAAGAGGAAGGAAATGACAAGATCAAGAGGAGCAAATTCACACCCTGATTCCCCCTGTCCCAGCTGAAGGATGCTCTGTGCTGTCTTCCTGTGGGGAATCTCACAGGTTTCAGCTGCAATCGTGCAGATAAAAGACCAACCACTCTCAACACAGTGAATTTTTCTCTGATATCCAACCTAAACTTCCCTTGGAGCAGCTTGAGGCCATTTGCTCTTGTCCTGTCCTTTGTTCCCTGGGAGTAGAGCCCAACCCACCCGGGCTCCCTCCTCCTGTCAGGGAGTTGTAAAGGTGAGAAGGTCCCCCTGAGCCTCCTTTTCTCCAGGCTGAGCTCCCCCAGCTCCCTCAGCTGCTCCTGCTGCTCCAGCCCCTTCCCCAGCTCTGTTCCCTTCCCTGGACTCGCTCCAGCCCCTCAGTGTCTCTCCTGAAGTGAGGGACCCAGAACTGAAAGGAATCATTACCTGTTGCACACAAGGAATGAATAAGGATAAAATATGCTGAGCATTTTCCATGTTAAAGACAGGAATAGCTGTCATGCCATCCCTGTGTATTCTACTTTAGCGTCACCATGGATCTGATTCAGCCTGTCCTCAGACAAAAAACCCTCACACACATCATGCACAAGCATGCAGAGAGAACAAAAAGCACTTCAGAAAGTAGGGAAAGCTCAGCAGCACAGAGGTGACATGCCCTCGGGACAAGCTCTTTCTTTGATTCCCTAATTCCTTTCATGCTTTTTCTCACCTTTAAAAACATTTCCAAGCCCCAAATATGTAAGTCTATAAAAAACATCTCCCCTCTTTAAAGCTCGTTGAACTGCCGAGGTGAGCGGGACTGGGAAGCCCTGCAGATTTCTCTAATCAGTAGAAACTATTCAAAGATCACAGGCTGGGACATGTCTGACAAAAGCAGGAGAATTTGCACAACAGGGAAGGCTGAGAGCCGAGCTGGGGACAAACAGGGAGCAGCAGGAGACACATGAAGAGTGACAGGACACGGCACGACATGAGCTGAGCAGGACTGTCCCTGCCTGTGCCCTGACTGCAGTGATCCAGCCCCACTTTGGGGAAAGATGAATCCCAAAAGTCACCATTCCCTGTCCTGCACCAGAAAATGGCTGGGAAACATCCCAGTAGAGCCCAGCACTGGGCTTCTTGTGGCCACTGCACGGCTGAGCCACCATGGGAAAGTCACCTCCCAGCAAGTCCCAGGCTCACTCTCTGCCAGGTGCACTTGTGCTCTTGGAGAGGAAAACAAATTTCTCCTCCTCTCTTGAGATTCTCAAGAACAAATTCTGAGCTTGAGTGCAGAGAATGAGCCTGTTCCTGATTCATCTCAAGGGCTCAGCTGCTGCTCTCCAAGGCTCTGGCTGATCATCCTCTTCCAGGCAAAGGTTTGCAGCTCACACACCACTGCAAGAAATCTGAGGCCAATCAAAGCTCTTATGAGCTGTTTTAACTCAGAACTGAATCACCTGGAAATCCTGGGAAAACACAACAAAAACAAACTCCTGGGTGTTTACCTGAGTTCATATTGGAGTTATCAGTGTCCATCTGATTGCAAAGGCCTTGGATGTATATTAAGCATCTTGTGGCACTCACAGTGAAGGGAAAATTAACTGTGACACTCGTGTTCAAAACATTAGTGTCAGTTTTTTAGTATTCTCTCCAGGAATAAACAACTGAGATTCGGGGGTGGGGAAAAACAGTTAAAAAAAAAAAAAAATTCACATCTCTACACAGCACTTCCACAGAAATATAAACTTTTTTACTTGATGATAAATGGAGCCACACCTACCCCTGAACTCGGCTCTGGGTACTGTAAAAGCAGAGATTAGTCCTTGTCGCCAAGGTTTTACAGTCTACATGAAAACAAATAGTGAATTATAGAAGGCAAGCAGGTCAGGCACATGTGTGAGGTCTCCAAGGAGAGCTGTGGCTTGGCTTGGATTACAGCACACAGCCTTTGGTGCTTTATCAAAGAGTGTGTGACGGAAGAGAGGTTGGACATGAGCCAACAGTGTGTTCCGGCTGCTCAGAATTCCAAACATGTCCTGATCCCACAGCCTGGGCAGCAGGGGAGGGGGGGATTCTGCCCCTCTGCCCCCTCAGGTGAGACCCCCCTGCAGAGCTGCCCCAGCCCTGGGGAACAGCACAGCAAGGACAGGGAGCTGCTGGAGAGAGGCCAGAGGAGGCACCAAGAGGATCAGAGGGATGGAGCAGCTCTGCTGGGAGGAAAGGCTGGGAGAGCTGGGATTGTTCAGCCTGGAGAAGGAAAGGCTTCCAGGTGACCCCATATGGCCTTCCAAGACATGAAGAGAGCATGCGAGAAAGATGGAGAGAGACTATTTCCAAGGGTGACAGGACAAGGGGGAATTGCTTCCCACTGCCAGAGGGCAGGGTTAGATGGGATATTAGAAAAATCCTTCCCTGTGAGGGTGGGGAGGCCCTGGCACAGGTTGCCCTAAGAAGCTGTGGCTGCCCCATCCCTGCAAGTGTTCAAGCAGATATTGGACAGGGCTTGGAGCAACCTGGGCTGGTGGAAGGTGTCCCTGCCCATGACAGGGTGATCTTTAAGGTCCCTTCCAATCCAGGCCATTCTGTTATCCTATGATTTACCAGCTCCCTTTTAAACCATACTAGTTTTCACTATTTCTTGCTTACTCTTTCACACTTTTCCTGGCCTATTCCCTCTCCATTCTGCTGGCAGGGATCCCATCCTTGCTGCTGGCAGCCTCAGTCACCCTCAATAACCAAACCACATGTTCTTCTCAGAGCATGACTTTTAGCTCTCTCGTGTATCAACAGCTACCCCAGACTGTTTTAACAGGAAGATTTCTAGCAGTGTTATTGAAGTGATAAGAGCTGGCTGAATTTTTATGAATATTTTACAGGTGTCCTGGGATGTGAGAAAATAGTTTTCTTTCTTTTACTTTATTTTTTAATAACCCAAACCTGAAACGCCTTTCTTGGGGACGTAAGGGAAACCAAACCTTGTTGCTCTCTCACTAAGAAATCTGCAAGTTTCCAGCCTGTTTCTCTACCCACAGAAAAAAAGGAGAAGTTTCTGAACATCACTGTATGTTCACGTAGACACTAGGGAAAATTTCCATTCTAAAGAGAACTTTCCTGGGGAAACTATTCCAATTTCAACAGGCTGGGTAAGTCTAAATGGCAACATCTCCACAGATGGGTCCTGCCAAGCACTTCCTAAATGGTACTGGAGGAGGGGGCTGCTGTGGAGTGGCAGGGAGCAAGCAAGGAAATAGCCTTCCCTGGGATACAGGAGCTATTTCCAGCTTGTTCTTCCCAGACCTGTCGTTGAGCAGCTGCAGAGGGTGCCCATAGGAGCAGCCCTTGTCATCAGGGACAGCAGCTGTCAGTAAAGGATCGTGATGTATTTTTCTTCCAAGTGTAAAGAAGTCACAGCTTTTTCAAGAAACAATAGCAGACTTCCCTGAAAGCACAATTAAAAATGATTTTGGAGAAGAACCCCAGAGCAGACAAACATCCCACTTCAGGCCTGACCCCTCACTTCTTACTGCAAAAGATGCACATTGAGCAACCTGCAGCCTGATGTGGATTCTGCTAAAATGTAGAGATGAAGCAACACTTCAGAGAACTAGAGCCCTTCTTGGGGGTCACTTACTTCTCACCTTCCCTAAAACCCTCTTCCCCTCTCTCAGGGAAAGAAAAAACTGCGGGGCTCCGTCGCCTCTGCCGCTCTCGCTCCCCCCTTGCTTCTCACTTTCACTCCCATTGGTTTCACGTTCCCTCTGCCATGCGGAAAACTTTCAAGTCTCTCCAGCCCAGCAGCAGGGTTTATCCTGGTTCCACCCACCGGGACTTTCCTGGCTTCCTTCAGCACGCGGAGAGAGAGAGGGGAGGAGAAAAAAAAAAAAAAAAAAAAAAGAAAAGAAAAAAAAGGAGCGGTGGGGAGGCAGGGAGCGGGCAGGGAGCGCGGGGAGCCGCGGAGCTCCCGATCCCCGCGCTTGGGTTTCTATTGTAGGCGGTGCATTCCTCGGGAGGGAGGGGGGGTGTGCGTGAGTGTGTGTGTGTGTGTCGGAGCCTTCCCACACTCGGAGCAGCTCTTATTTAATGGGGGTCTCCATGCAGGGCAGACGCCAGAGGAGGTTTTGCCGTCCCCCAGCTCCCAGCTGAGGAAGAGCATCTCGCCCGGCAGGCGCTGCCATAGAGGGCATGGTCGAGATAACGCCAGCGGCTCCCGGGACCAGCCAAGGCTCTGGGATGCACCTCAGGAAGGATTTGAGGAGGATGCGGTGCGCGGTGCTGCTGTGCCTGCTCTCGGTGATGGTCCTCATGCTGCCCATCGCCTACCTGCTGGTTGGAAACCTGCGAGCCCCCAGCTCCTGCGGCAGCCAGGTAAGGCGCTCGCACCTCGTCCTGCGCCTCCAGGGCTGCGTTTGTTCGGTTCTTTTAACTCTCTGGACGAGTTTCTCGTGTTTAAAAGGGAACGTGTGAGGCTCACTGTTACGTTCCTCTTTCCTTATGCTGAGAAAAAACACCTGGGATAAATCGTATTATTGCTCAGAATTCTGTGATTCGGACTTTTTAACTAACGGTTCCTGTTCTTGCCTTAATTTCACTGAGGTCACGTTAGAGTGCATGGCTTTAAAACTTTCATTGGCATGCTGCAGGCAGTGCTTAAAAGAACACTAGTTGATGTAAATCAGTGTCTCTCTGCTGATTTCAGCCAGATTTTCGCACTACAGCTCGTTTTCCTCCCTTCTTTCGGGTTAAATCTGAGACTTCCCCTCCCGGTGTCTGATTTCCCTGACGGGGCTGTGATGTCAGTGGGTCAGTCACCCATCACTGGGCTGACAGTTCTTGTGTATTATTAATGCAAACTTCTGCAGAGATCTGATCCGAGACGAGGAGTCTGGCCCTAAATTTCGCTCCCTATTTTTCACTCTCCCTTAAAACTCTCTCTGGATTCAGGGATCTTCTCAGCTTTTCTCCCTTGACAGCTACACTCCCTTTGCTCCCAGCCATGCAAGCTCATGCTGTGCTGCTTCTAACACTCTTTCATGCTGCTCCATCCCTTCTGGTGCCAGTCTGCAAGTGCCCATTCCCACGGGAGACTGTGAGTTCAGCAGGACTGCCCCATGCCAGTAGGGTGCGTGTATGTCTGCAGAATTTTAGCTTCGGCTCTGCAATCCCCCAGCTAATTAGTGTGCTTGTTAGGAGCTTATTTAGGATAAAGGAGCAGGGTTAGGAAGAGGCCTTGAAGGCAGGTTCCTAACCTTGTTTAGCCTGGGGATGTGTGAGAGCTGTGCAGGGAGGTGCCAGGCCCTGGCTGACCCCGAGCTCATTCCCAAGCGCAGCATCCTCTGTGTTACCTGGTTCTAACTTTGTGCAGCCTTGTGGGGCACCTCTTCTGTCAAATCTGCCAGTTCCTTGCATGTGTGAAATGTGTTTCTGCCCTGACCCTGCCGCTGCTGTCGAGGCCAGCGGGTGCACACGAGGTGAACACTCTCAGCTGCACTGGGCTTTGTTTGAGGTTGTACAGAGCGCAGCAGTTCAGCCTCGAAACAGAGTGAAAGAATAACAAAGCGTGAGCTTGTTTGATCAGTCTGACGTGTTCCTGGCTCTTGATCCCGTTGGCAGAGCTAGCAGAGAAAGGTATTTTTATGAGTGGGCTTGGCCTCTTAAGAGGAAGAGCACAACGTCAGCCAGCCCCGAGCGCCGCTCCAGCCCCGGGCTGCCCTGCTGTTGGACCCACGCATGTGCACCCAGTTATCAGCACGCAGTATTCCCACAGTGATGTAATGAGGTGATCAGATGACTTACAACCTCTGTGAGTCCCAGGGAGGAAGAGGAAAGTCATGGGGCTGGCTGGGTGCCCGCTGTGCAGTGGGAGGAGCTGCACCCCAGCTGGCTCCCTCCTGTTCTCAGTTTTTCATTCATTCTCCTGTTTTCTGGCTCTACCATCAGTGCTGTCCAGCAGGAAAGGGCAGATGGGTGGATTTGCCTGCCTGTGTGGCCTTCTGTAAAGTCCCTAAAGAGATATGTCACACACTGAACACAGGAGCTCAGTCCTGCAGCTCTGCTGTTCCAGTCCATGGGAATGTTTCTTGGGAAAATGTCTTTTTGCATCTCCTTTTGCATTTGAAGTTAGAACTGGATTGCTAAATGGCTCCTTCCTCATGTGCTCCATTGATAGCCCCAGTCAAGACTCTTGGGACCAGATGTGTGTGTCAGAGCTCTCTGTGGCACTGGTTTTGGGGTTTGGGTGCCCTGGGCATGCTGGGACCAGTGGACAGACCCCAGTTTGCCCCAGATGAGCATTGGTTTGCTGACCCTCACAGCAGAGAGCCCATGGGAGGAGCCCTCTCATTGCTCCAGGACTCACATGCTTGGACTGTCACCTTCTGGTGCTCTGGGGACAGTCCTGGGAGGAGGGAGGGACTCAGCATGTGAGAAGAAAACATAGTAAATTCCTGAGTGAGCCCTTCCTGGAGCAAGGAGGAGGAGAAGGGGAGGTTTGTGCAACAGGGGTGTGTATGTCCTGGCACTCTGCCTGTAGGGTGAGGCAGTTTGGTCATCTCTGCCTCTGTGTGGGTGCACATGGTGTCACCTCCTGCCTCTGAAGGGATGCAAACTCACCTTTCCTCTGGAAATGTCCCTTTCAGGAAAAAGCAGGGCAAGTTATGTCATTACAACATGTGTGAGCCACCAGTTTTCTGTCTCTGTTGTGGTACAGTGAGTCTTGGATGAATAATTCAAGTTTGATGATGGATTCCCTGGACACCTTCCAGGCTCACTGCACTGCTCCTTTTGGAAAGAGAAATCACTTTCTTTTATGCTCCAAGACAGAGTGAGGTGAGGAAATAGAGTTATTTAAATACTAACACATAGCTTGTGTTATTAGCAGGAAATCTATATAAAGGCTGTAATAATGCCCTTCCAGAGGAAGGTCTAGGAGTGCTGTTCATCCTTCCCCAAAGGGAAGCCAAGTTTCAGTCTGAGTTCACAGATGTCTCAAAGGAGCAGCTCAGCAGCCAAGAGAATTTCTGGCTGCCTCAGCAATCTGCTCAGCTGACCCAGGAAAGCAGAGCATCCAATCCTATGGCCTGGAAAGAAACTTGGGTTTATTTTCCTGGAATCCTTGGCATGTCAGGACCCCAGAGAGACATTCCAAAGCCTGTCCAAAGGGCTGCCTGGGAACCTGTGTGCCATGTCTGTGCCATGGCAGCTTGCCAATGGAGAAGGGAGCTGTTGCAGTGCAGGAGGGACTTGAAAAGTCCCAGCAGCTCCACCTGGATCCTGTCCCAAAGGAAGTCAGAAATCTGGCAACAAAGCTCAGAAAAGATCTGCCCATATGGGAAAGAGACCCTGAAATGACTTCCTGATGTGGAGGGAGGGAGAAATGCCTGGGGAGGAGCAGGGAGCATTGCCCCTGGATGAGCTCAGGTGTTGGGATTGCCCTTCCAAGAGCAGCAGCAAAACTCCTGAGTGGCCACTGCTGCTGGATGCACATGGCCCTTGTGGGCACAGAAGGCCAAGAGCACGTGCCCTGGGTCCAGGCTTCCCCTGGGCACTACTGTCCAGCCAAAATGTTCTTACTGATGCCAGTTTTTACTGGCACTGGACAGGTCCCTACCAAAGATGCCCAGCCCAGGCCATGCAGCATCTCTGGAGCGAGCAAAACTTGGCTCTGTGTACCACATATGACCTGTCAAATAGTGTCCTGTGCAAAAAAATGGAGTGGATGGAGGTGCTGGGGATGTTTTGTTTATTAATCCTTCTGCCTGCAGTGCCAGCTGCTTTTCCCACACTGCTCTCTGATGGATACCCCTGGCCCTGTCCAGAGGTTCAAGAGCCAAAGCACACGAACAGGGGGTGTTCAGCCTTTCTTTTTGGGTTTAGCAATATCTGGGTATAAATGCACTGGGGCTTTTGGACAGTCTTGGCACCAAAACCATCTGGAAGTGTTTTGCATACATGCCTCGAGGGTAACAGCTGCCTGTCCAGGGTGTCTGTGAGTCAGCTGCAAGGTGGGATTTTCAGCATCACTCAGGGCTGGTTGGTCTCTCCCCAGTAACCAAAGGGAAAACTGAAGCAAGGCTGTGAACTTTTCAGCAAGAAAGGAAAAGAGAGAAAAGCACCAATTGTGTAAAATTATCTGTTGTCTCCTGCTGCTTGGCTCTGTTCACCATCAATGTACAACATCTGTGCCTGTTTGGGACAAATATTACTGACACCTGCTCATTGTGTAGCATTGCCTGGTGCTAAAACATTTTCTGTGAGAGATTTCTATTTTTATCCTTATCAAATAGCACAGTTAGGAATAAAAAGAACAGCCATGGCTTTGCCAACAGCAGGATAACTTCACACCTTGCAGCACCCTGCTCTATCTGCATCCCACTGCATCTGTGAAGGAGCTCCTGCACCTGGAGTTTCCATCTGGATTTCTTAGGAAACAGGGAGCTTTAGGTTTAAACAAAACCATTTTGTTACCTTTTACAAAGGAGCAGAATTCTTCTTGCTCTCCTTCCCATTTCCCCACCACCACCACCTCTGTTTGTATTGCAACATCCAAGTTTATCTGAAGTACGTCAGCAGAAATTAGGTTTCAAGTACACAAACAGTTCCCCAGAAGTTCCAGCCTTAAATGTAGGTTTGTGGTTCATTTACAGCTCCTTGCAGTACTTATCATTGCTAGAAAATATGTCACTTGGTAACTGTGTAGGAATAGATATCATAGGAATATTTACACCGTTATTTGTGATCCGTGTGGATGAAAGAGAGGGCAGAGTGTGAGGGAAACCCTCAGTCCTGATCTTGAGGACAAAGTCACCTGGCTGTGACTGTGTCACATCAACAGCACAGACATGTTTAGGCACCAGGATCTTGGAGAAAGTCCTCAGACACAATGAAAGGCCCTGACATCTCCACCACAACTCTCCCTCAGCCCTACCCTGAGCTTTCCCACCACCACCTCTGCCAGAGGGCACTTCAGCAGAGCAGGAGGCTGCTGGGGTGATGTATGTGTGGGTAAGGGAGGGAAAAATAAGGAGGATTTTCCTGCTGTTTTTCTTCTGCATTTTTTTCCAAACACACTGGAGCAACTCTTGTAGAAATTACAGTTTTCTGCAGTAAACATGGATGTTTACTGGTGGTAAAACATCAAATTACCAGAGTGGCCAGCAGTCCCCAAACCCAGGCAGCCTGATTCTTCTTCCACAAACATTCTCCTTCCCCCAGCTAATATAAATAATCTATTTTCTACTTCTCCTGTAACATAAATTACCTATTTTCCACTTCTCCTGCAGTATTTCAAGCTGTGTGAGACACAGCCACCAGCAGACAGCTCCAACATCTCCATACTAATTCTGCTCCAGCCTGTTTATTAAAAATGCATCCAATCCTTTGCTGCAGGCTGGCCAGTGGCAGTTTATTCAGTGTATTTTTGGGAACTGTCCATAAACCAAACCACAGCAACCCAGTGTGCTCTGATAAGTGCGATGGGGGCTCCCCACATCCCTGGGAGTCAGCCTTGAGCTGGCTGCACATCCCACACTGGCTGCTCCCTGCTGTGGCACCAGGGGTGCTTCTCACAGCCCGGGGAGATGGATCCAGAGTCAGCATCCTGCAGCATCCTCCCTTCGGAGCTGGCACGTGGCAGTGCCCGGCTGTGACTCGGGAGGAGCAGCCCTGGCAGGAGCGTGCCAGGCAGGCAGCACAGCCCCTGTGAGCTGCTCCACCTCCACCTCAGAGGCACCAGGGCCATGCCCTGCAGGAGAGGGGGGTGTGAGTTCTGGGCTCTGGGAGGTGAGAGCCGAGGAAGGATGAGCTCACCCTGCCTTCCCCTGGCACAGTGCTGAGCTCACCCTCTGCCAGCTGCTCCCTTCAGGCCTGCTCAGCTCCTCTCTGTCCGCCCAGCAGGTCACCCAGCATCCGAGGCAACACATCTGCAGTCTGAAACCAGACTGATGCAGGAAGTGGCACTTACTGCCACGGTCTAGAAGACAAGGTGGTGTTGGCCACAGGTCGGACTCGATGATCTCAGGGGTCTTTTCCAACCTGGCTGATTCTGTGTGTGAAAAGCAGGTGCAGCTGATGCACCTCAATTAGTGTCTTTGTTATGGGTGAACCTTTGGGACAGAAAAGGCTCAGACCTGGCAAGTCTTGAGGCACAGGGGAGTATTGCCCACGTTGCTCTGCATGGACTGAGGGGCAGGAGAATGAGCAGCAAAGGAGCTCCAGCAGTGCTGGGTGGAGTCACCACCCCAGAGGAGGGTTAGTAATGCCTAATTCCCACTGCCCACTCTGCTGGGCCTCTCCCAGTTTTACCAAGGGCTCATCCAGACTGGAATTTAACAAAACCCCCCGCCACAAGAGCCCAGGTCCTGTCTCTGGCACCCTTTCAGAGGCGCAGTTTCAAACCCACAGCAGAAATCTCTTGCAGAGATTTGCAAAGCCTTGTCAGGGCTCCTCACTTTTCAGGACAGCTCTAGTTGAACTCTCTGACTTGCTGTAGCACATTCCATTCTCTGGGATGACTCAGACAAGCCCCTCTGTGGAGGTTCCTCCTGGAGCCCTGAGCTAACTGCTGGTAAATCTCTCCTGCAGGTCCCAGAGGAGAGGGGCTCCCTCTTTCTGAAGCAACGGGCAGTAGCTGCTGGTAAGTTTGCCAGACCTTCCCCCCCATCCCAGCACCTTTGGACACAATCCCAGCACACTCTGCTGCCTCCTGCTCTCCCCACCCTAATCCTAATCCCTCCCTCCAAACAACCAGGGCAGACAGAGGCAAGCCTGGGTGAGAGGTGCAGGGAGGTAACTGGGGCATAGTGGGGGAGCATTTCTAACCCCGGGGCTGTACTCTGTCTAGTGCAGGCACAGAGCTCCCCTGCAGCTCTGCAGGATCAGTGTAACCCCCTGAACATACAAAAGCAGGGATTTGGGAGCCCTTTCATGCCAAAATCTCCACACCACACCTCTGTTCCCCCTCCAGCAGCTCTGACAAACTCGTTTGCAAAGTGATTTTATCACCTCAGTGGTGTCAATAAGAGATCACAGCCAGTAATTCCTGACTGCCTATGGAAATGGAAAGGGCCTGCACACATTTCCTTGGTGTCACCATCACCACTCACATTTTGTTGACTTAGGAAAAGCTTCTTCCCCCAGAGGGTGGTTGGCACTGAACAGGCTCCCCAGGGCAGTGGGCACAGCCCCAAGGCTGCCAGAGCTCCAGGAGGGTTTGGACAACGCTCTGAGGGACAGGGTGGGATTGTTGGGGTATCCTGTGCAGAGCCAGGAGCTGGAGACTCTGATTCTATGATTTGAACAGCAGCAAACACCCTTACACCTTTTATTTTTCTTCCCCCTCAGTTACAGACACACTTTCCAGTGCAGAGAAGCCCCGAGCTCACCTGACAGGTAAATTTGTTCCAAACTGAAGCCTTTCCTGGGGGTTTTACGGATGCTGTGGTGCAATAACCTTGTTTTGCATGGATCTGATAGCATCAGGTGTTGCAGGAAACAGGGGGGAAATAACCATCAGCTTTGCCTTGCTGACCATGACAGATTGAGTGCAGGCTGTGTCTGTAGGAAAGGGCCCACAAGGGAGGGAAAGGACAGAAATGTCACCACTTTTCCAAGCTGTTTCTTCCACTGAATGAGCAGCTCTTGTAATTGAGCTTAAACAAGTGCCCTGATATCCCAGAGGTCTACTGAATGCCCCAAAAAAGGCAGGGGAAGGAGCTCAAGTGAGCCCTCATGGAGCAGTGAATTGGCAAGAACTACCAGATTTGTAGCATAAACAGGTCAAATAAGGCCAGTTTTAGCCCTTATTTTTTTGCAAGGCCTGGCTTGGGTCACATATATCATATTCCCATCAAATCCCTCCCTCTTTCCAGTGAGATCATCTCTAATATCAGAGCAAGCAAGGAAGGGTAATGCCAGGTTGAACCCCCCAAACCCTTTATCTTGTGTTGGGCAGGTGGTATCACACAGCCCTCTTGCAGGGTGGGCTACCATGCCTTTCCAAAGGGTTGCCATGCCTTTCCAAAGTCATTCCATGCCTTCCTGAGGGGCTGCCAGCATCTGCAAGGTCCCCATCTCCCCACTTCAGCCTTGAGGGCTGTCACTGCCCTGAGACATCCTCCAGCTCCATCCTCACCAGCTCCACCCACCTGCAAAATTCGGGTATTGCCAGAGAAGAGAGGAAAGCGCTGAAGGATTTTCCAGCTGGCCTGAGGCAATTTATACCTCCCTGAAGTCCAGCTCAGTGCAGAGGCTTCCCCAAACCCCTGAGTGTTGCCCCAGGGTGCCCTTTCCAACCTGAAGCAGGACAGGGTGTGTTCCTTCACACAAACCTTCACACAAACCCACCTCCAGGGTTCGATCAGTCAGTAGCTCAGGGCTGATTCCTTTCCCAGCACAGTTTTCACTCCCTAACCCTCAAGCTCCCTCCTGATGGTCCCCATCCCTTTGCCACATGGGGGTTTCCAGAGCTCCAAAACTGACCTGGCCTTGTCCAAAATCCCATCTTTGCTCAAGTGCACCTTTGCAGGAGCAAAAGGACCCTTTCTGCTCGAGTTTCCAAGGGAGACTCTGTGGCCAAAGAGATCCAGAAGCTCCTGGTGCAGTGACTCAGAGGAGCAGCCACACACTGCTCTGCTCAGGGAACTCCCCTGGGTTGCACAAAAGCCCAGTTGCCACAGGGAATCACCCAACAGCTTTCTTCAAGTTTCCTCAGGCCCCATATTGATCAAAATTCCTTCACCACCATTCCCAAGCAGCCTCCCTGGGGCTGTGCCCATCCTCTCGGCACAGTTTGCCACAGCAAGGAGCACGAAAAGAGACAATTAAGGGGGTTTTATGTCTCCTTTCTGGGCAGAAAACCCACACCCAGCCTGCTGTGTTGTGTAGGCATCAGGGAATCCCGAATCCACGAACTTATCTTTGACCTTTTCTTGGCCCAAACACATTTCTGGTGCTGGACCCCGTGACAATGAGTTTCCAAGCTTAACAGCACGTTGCAGTCAGAAAACATTTCCTGTTATATCAAACTCTGTGCACAATAATTTATTGGGTTCCACCCTGGTTTTCTTTTCTCAGAAATCACAACTTGTCGTAGAAAGAGTAAAAGGAATAATTATTCCCCTGGTTGTTGCATTCCTGAAGCTCAGGTGCCATTCCCAAAGTGGAAGTGGGAGACTACAAACCCTCACCTGTAGGAAATCTTCTGCAGATCTCCCTTCTCTCTGTAATTTTCTAGTTTTAGGGATGGATTTCTGAAGGTGAGAGCAGGGCAGTGAGAGGAATGAGAAGTAGCCAGAGCATTTCCATGGGAATGTGCCACTGAATTGGCATCAACAACTCGATATTTTGGTCTCTGTTCTTTATAAAGAATTCTCCACCTGCTCTTGGCCTTTTTAACACACACACTGAGCATTTTGAGCTTATCCAAACTGGCACCAAGGTCTCCTCTCCCTGGGTGGTTATACCTAGTGAGCAATGGCAGGAGCCATGGGAATACCCAGCTCAGACTCTTCTCCATCCCCATTGATGTCCCCGTGGTTCTGACTGCTCCATCCCTGCCACCATCCCCTCTCCACTTACCTGGTTGCACTTTGGGTCAAGATGAAGACCAGCAACTCTTCTTTCTTGTCACCAGCCTGTGGCTCAGCTGGGTGACCCGTGAGGGAAAAATTCCATCCGGTTCCTGGCTCACACTGACCGTGTGCAATGCTACCCAAGCACATCACGAAATCTGGGGAGAGCATCACCTTCTGTTCCAAAGCAGCTTTTAAGGGCTCTGTTAAATACTCAGGGCATGAATTTGAGCAGCAGAAACCCTGCAGACACAGGATTTTGTTGTACAAGGGCTTTACTACAACAGGAGGTTCAGACTCAGATCTCTTGCTGAGCCCCAGAGCAGAGTTCAGGATTAGACTCTCACATTGGGGAGGGCTCAGAATTTGAGAAAGCATCCAAGTTCCACAAAAATATGCTCAAAATCTGACAAGTAACAGGGATTCTCCAGCCAGGGACTAGACCAAAAGGGATTTGGGGACAGGAGAAATAAGGGAAGCCAGAAATTTATAGTGGGAGGAACTGTAGTAATGAATCCCTTATTGAAAGCAGATTTTACTTACCTTGAGAATCAGCACAATAGATATGTTTGAAGGAAGTGTAGATCCATATTTTATGAAATTAGTAAATAAATGGCAAGTGCAAAGTGCAAGCTCTGCTAGAAAAGGATCTGTATTGTATTCAAAGGCACCTGAACAAGTATTTCAACATCATATTCAATTTGAATATGTATTGTACCACTTGAACATGTATTTTTCCTCTTGACCAGTATTGAAAGAACGGGGAAAATTAATTAACTTGAAAATAGAGAGCTTCAAATAGAGTGAGATTTATCAAAAAAAGGGAGGTTATAATTGTTAATTCTTGCCTAATTCTCGAAGTTTTGAAATCATGTACTTCGTTTGAGATCCTATTAGTTATAAGAAACGCTGGGGAATTGAGTGTCATTGACATTTGAAATGCGTCATCTGCACAGACAGGAGTATTTCACAGGCAGCTTCTCTTCAATTCCCCCCCACACACACCAAAATTCCCAAGATGGAAAAGAGCCCAGGACATTTTCTGGAAATATTCTGATCCTTCCCATCTCAAACAAGCTCTCCTCTGCTGTGAGTTGCTCTCTGATGTGTTACCCCAAGCTCTTGTAAATCTTAGAGTGACTCCAAGCTCCTTGAGCTTCTGCCAGGACTCAGATCAGTCCCTGACACCCAGAGGTGGATGAGGAGGAAGGCAGACCATGAGTACTTTCACTTTTACTTTCTTTTATTCCTCTCTCTCTGGATCAGGCAAAGCTCCTTTGGTTCTAAACATCATAGTCCTTATAAATTTCCATAATTTAGCTTGGCTTGTTCCCACAATCCCCATGTGTGTTCCACACACAGAAACACTCTCCTTGTGTTCTTTGCCTCCTGGGGAAAGATCAGAAAGGTTTGATACCTCAGCAGCACTGACAGCCAGGCTGGAAAAAAAGGGCTTTATTTTGTTGTGCTACTCAGAGAATATGCAAGGAATTGCTCTCCCAGCACCTTCTGGGCTCCTTATGGATTAGTTATTGCTAGACAAGAAGGGGAATGGATGCCCCTGGGAGCTGAGAACATTCCTTTTTCCAAATCTCATCTCACCCAGGATAAACCTCATGCTTATTGCCAAAGGAATTTCAAAGCCTTCCCTTCCCTGCATTCTGTTTGTCTTCCTGCCCATGCACACACCCCCTCCCTTCCCCAACTACTGAATCAAATTAACTTTAAACAATAACTCAAGTTCATTAAAAAGGTCTCAGTTCCTGGAAATCAGTTCCCTCAGTCATCCTCAGCATCCATCATTGATTTTCCAGGTTCATTTTAATACCTGGCAGAATCTTGATGGTTTTTCTCCTCTTCCTTTCCACTGCCTGTGTTTTACCACAACACTTGGTGTTTTACCACGATTTTATGTGGTGGCCAGTGAAGAGCAGAGACAACTCTTGCTTCCCTGCAGAAAAATGTGCAAGTACTAAGGCTTGTTCTCCTGGCTGTGGTGTGAATGACATTTAAGTGACACCAAGCTCAGTGTTTTGTCCCAGCAAGGCATTTTAAAAAAAAAAAAAAGGGTTAAAAATGGTTTTAAATATAATGTGCTGCTTCAAAATTGAGCCTCTTGAAGCACAGTGGGGTCTTCTGAGCTTCTGATAAAATCCAGCGACACAAAGGCAAAGCTACAGTAAAAGATTTGATTGAGAGCACTCAGGAAGAAAAGCCTGAGGATGAGAAAGCTCAGCCACCTTCAGGGAGCAACTTGGCAGGAAGGGAAGCTCGAGTGTGTCAGAGCTTGGTGACACATTGTGGACATTCTGCCAGCACAGTAGGGAGGGTCTTCTGAGCTTTTGGTAAAATCAAATTACATCGGGAAAATCCGAATCCCACTGCACAGCTGGCCTGCAGCCAATTCAAGCTGTGAAATAGGAACGTTTCTGTCCTTATTTTGATCACCCTGTTTGAGGGTGATCTTTTGTGCCCCCTGGAGCAGAGCTGCCCCCTTCATCCAGCAGCACAGCCCTGGCTGCAGTGACCTAACCCACCTCCTCTCCCTCTCTCTTCCTCCCACAGTGAAGAGACAAGACCTCAGCAGAGCCGTGGGGAACCACCTGCCCATCCTGCAGTGGGAAGACAAGCGAGGCTTGGCCTTTACCAAGAACAACCTGAGTTATTCCAGCAACGCTCTGGTGATTCCTGTGTCTGGGGACTACTATGTCTATGCTCAGGTCACGTTCCGAGGGCCCATTGAGAGCCACAGTAAACCCAATTCTGTCACTGAGATCATCACCAAGGTCACTGACAGTTACCCCGAGCCCACCCAGCTGCTGACAGGCACCAAGACCCTCAGTGAGAACTGGAATGGCTGGTTCCAGCCCATTTATCTGGGAGCTGTGGTCTCCTTGGAAGTGGGGGACAAGCTGATGGTCAACGTCAGCGACATCAAGCTGGTGGATTACACCAAAGAGCACAAAACCTTCTTTGGGGCCTTTTTGCTGTAGGTTTCTGGCAGCAGCTGGGGGATGGGTTTCCCTTCAGGGCCCTGGGGGGACCTCGTTGGACTTTGGCTTTGTTGGGTGTGTGTTGGGGTGCGATTCCTGCTGTGTCCCTCCTCTGTACCATCACCCCCTGCAGCTCAAGGGAGCCTTCATTTAATGGGTAGGGAAAGCTGAAGCTGCAGCTTGAACTGAAACAACCCAAAAAAAAACTCACTAAAAAAAGAAGAAGGAAAAAAAAAAACCACCCACCCAACCAACCAAAAAACCTCCAAACCATACCAGAACCAGCAAAAAAAGAACAACAACAACAAAAGAAAAAAAAAAAACAACCAAAGACAAAACCCCCAAAACAAACAAAACCAAAGAAAAACAAAGAACCAAAACCAAATTAAAAACCAAACCAAACCAAAAAACAAACAAAGAAAAACAAAAAAAATAAACACAACAAAAAAATGAAAGTCTGGTTGGAGGAAAAAAATGCACTTTTGAAAGTAAGGGCTGAAAGATCTTCAAAACTTTGTAAGCTAAGGAGGAACAGTTGATGCCTGTGGGTAGGAATGTTGATCTGGAATATTGCAGCTAAGCTCCATCACTATTTCCACCTCCAATGTACAATTTCCTCAGCTCTGAAACAAAAAGTGGTTTGAACTTTCTCCAGCACTTCCAGTATAGTTTTGCATGACTCTTCTTCAGCTACTTGGTTCTAAAAGGTAATGACTTTTCATAATTTCCTTATGAATAGATTTGCTCAGTACTTTGCACTAACATAAAGCTCAGGTGAATTATTAATTGCTTAATTAATCCCTTCCAACTTCCCTGTAAAGTAGATTAAAATTATATCTTGTGGTTTGCAGCCGCTATTTGAAATTTTTGTTTTTAAAAAAAAAAAAAGAAAGAAAAACAGAAAAAAAAATTTGTTTACAGTTTTCTAAGTCAACACTCAGCCTCCAAATGTTATGTGAAAGATGTAGGGAACACACATCAACGGAGTGAAAGTGGAATCTCCCCCTCCAGCTCCTAAGATTAGGAAACCAGAAAAAATCAAGGCAGAGAGAGACACACAGCAAAATGCTGCACACTTTTAAACCAGCCACTGAGATTTGGAGGGAAAAACCTCTGCAATAATCTGCTTTCCATTATGGTTAATGCAAAGCAAGTGAAGCAGCTAAAGAAATCTTGGTGCTTCCCCTTGCAGCCATTGCCAGTGGTGGTCCCCTGACCTCAAGGGGTGAAGGTTGACCACCAGCTGTCCCTCCACAAGGTCAAAGGATGCAAAGACACGCTCTTGGTGTGCCAGGGGCAGGTGAGGAGCTCAGGAGTGTCTCACTTGCCACCCTGCACTTGTTTATTTGCATAGTCCTTACTGTTCCTCAGGGAAACTCCCCAGCTTTCCCTCTGCTCCTGCAGCAAACTCATCCCTGGCAATGACTCATGGGCTCAGAGATCTGGACTTTCAGTGGCTGTTCTTACAGTGGCCACCTTCCTTAAAACTGAACAGCTGAAAACAGGGAACTTCAAATTAACAACATCTTGTTGTGAAGCAGGTGCCTCTGTTTACCCAGGCTGTGGTGGTCCAGCTTCCACTGGAGTCAACCAAAGGAATCCTATTGAATTTTGGGGCGTGCCCCAAACACATTTGATTGTAATATTTAGATAAATATATGAGCTCAGCACAACTTCCAGGAGGTCTCACACCCAGCTGCTCTGAGACCACCAGGCTTCACCCTCTGCAGCTCTTTCTCTTTCCTGCCTCACCTCATGGGATTTCCTCCATTTTTTCCACCTCTTGGCCAGAAATGACAGCAAGGCTTGATTTCCTAAACTGATATTCCCTCTCAAAGTGATGGTGGAGCCCAAATTCACACTCTTAGTGTAGCACTGGGGATGGGGGTTGTAGCTGAGGAGCTGAACTGGGCAGAGAAGTTCTTAGGTGGAGACAGCCCAGCTGTAAAAACCATGTGTGATCCTGCAGGCAGCAGTGCCACCAGGCTGCTTTGCAAGTCTCTGCCCAGCAGGAGACAATTTATTCCCATATAACGATCTGTTTGAGCTGACAAGGAAAAGTCAGCAGTGCAGCTGAAACACAAAGCAGAGAGAAAGGCCAAGACTGGGGGTGGAGAGAGGAGAGGAGCAAAGCAGGAGGTGGGAAGGTCCAGCCAACGCCAGATTTCTGCCTCTTCATAGCTTAGTGTAAGCACTTTCATGCTGATGTGAAAACTAGCAGGTCTTTTATGTAGTAAATCATCTAAAAACAAAAAGCTTTTTGGCCATCCTTCCCTACTGTGGATCCCAGATTCTGCAGTCCTTCACTCTTTTATCCGCCCTGAGTCAGCACCAAACACATGACAGCAGCCAGGAGAACATCCTGACTGGCCTCCTTTCCTCAGCAAGTGTCTGTCTTGCTTCCAGATTCTCCTTGAGTCGTTGTGGGCCCAGTTCACAGCACTGCCCTTCACAGTGTCCCCTCATCCAAACCTCATCACAGTTTGGTTTCCTGTCCTTTCTTTGACTTGTCCTTCATTTCCTTTCTCCCACAGGCACCTTCCTGCCTGCTTGGCCCTGTCCTGTAAGGACACCTCCTTATCCAAATGCCATTCCCTACAGGAAACTTCTCTCTTAGAGTCAACCCCAGTGCTCAAAGTGACATCTCAGCACAGGTTCAGGTGGCAGAAAGTAAAGGTAGCGATCCTACAAACACTCCTGGCCAGAGGATCCCCTTAAGTCCTTATTAGGCAGATTCTCTTCCATCTTTGAGTCCTTATTCCCATGTTTCCTCCAGCTGTTCAGTCCTTGTTTTTAAGCTGAAGCAGGAGCAGTTATTCCCTGTGTATCCCTTCAGCCTAAAGGCAGGGCTGTTCTCACTGCCCAGAGACCCCTCCTCTCATGGTAAAACCTGGTGAAACCTCAACAAAATTATTCTCTGGGAAACCCTGAGCCTTTCCATGTCTCAGATTTCCTGCATTGTTCCCTCAGCACCCCACACTGGACCCTTCTGAGCTTCTCACCCCTCGGCTGTGTGCCCAAATTAGGATCTGAACTCATGAAAACACAAAATGTGCAGCTCTTGCAGAGCACACAAAACAATGTGGTCAATCTCATACAGGGAAGATTTAAAAGTGGCCTGTCCAGGACAGGTGAATCCCAGGAAATAGGTAGGAAAACTTCTGTGAAGTGCTGTATTGGATGAATTCTGGTTTATCCTTGGAGAAAATTGGAGTGGAAATTCTGTTTATTCTGAAACAGTTCCAGTAACTCAGGAAGTTCTTTTTTTTTCCTAGAGATGAGATGATGTAGCATTTTTCTGAGGGCACAACCCAGTCCTGGTAGGCTTGGACAGCAGATTTCCATAAAAACTGTATCCAGTCACCATCAGCTGATCCTGGTGGGCTGTGTGATGGAGAATGTGAGGTCTGGGGGAGAGGAGTGGTGGATGCAGCGCTGGGAATTCTCTGGTATATACACATAGACATGTATATTTGTGTATATTCCACAGGCATTCTACAAGCCCATTGCAACAATCAGCCTTTTTTAGCACAAAGCACATTATTTGTGCCCTCTGTACACTAACAATGAACTTCACAAGCAAATTGGTTCCTGCTGAAGCTTCAAGGCAGGTGTGACTCTCTCAAGTCATTGTCCATGGCACAGAAATATTTATTTTAGTCCAGTTAGAATAGTTTTATTTTAGTCCAGTTCAGCCCTGTTACACACACCAGCTTTTAGCACATTCAGCACAATTTATATGGCATAAAATTAATATCTCTGGCATTACTTGTTTTAAAGTGATGCAGGGATATTAATCCCCACATCTCCCCCAGTGGAAATTTTCCCCCCTTTTCCCCCCCTTCTCAGTGCTAATAATGTTTCTGGAACAGCATCAAATATAATAAGTATTCAGAGGCTGATTCTGACCCAGATATTCCTCCACAGAGATCAATGGCATGAAGTCAAACCACTTAAGTAACACAAAGGTCAAGCTAAAAGTGAAATATCTCCACCAGACTGAACCTAAAGTGTGGATTCTCAGATTTATTTTTTTTTTAAGGCTAATTAAGGACACAAGTGTTCTCAGAAATTTGTGTTTATTGGATCAGAAAATGTTATTTAATGTAAACCATTTCTGGAGATGTGAAATGTCTCTGCATCAGCTTTTTCAAGTTAGTGAGAAGCTGATGAAATCTGGTCATGGGAACCAGTGACCTTGAAATCTGGGGTCCAACTGACCATGTGATTTGTTTCGGGTGGTTTTGAAACTAAAATCATTACCAGAAAAAGGATTGAAGCTGGAGAAAAAGGGTGAATGAAATAGGCAGCTTGGGCTAGAGGAGGTAAAATATGTGATTTCAGGGTTTGACCTTTCCATTTTGTAGGAAAAGAAAATGAAAGCACTTTTGAGAACAAAACCATTGAAAGAAGAAATATCAGATGATTGTTATTATTTTTAACAACTGCTCAAAACATTTTTTTATCTCTGCTCAAAATATTTTAGATCTTATGAATTTTCTTCCCCAATCTCTTTGATCCCCAAAAAACTAACACTAAACACAGCCCAAACTGATAAAAAATTCGCTTACCCCCCACTTCCTTTCCCCTTAAAAACTAAATATTGGTAAATAGGCATTAACTTTCTCTCCACATTGATGCAGAAGTAAATTTGAATCAAGCTCTAGGGAATGCAGCTGCAATCCTACCAACATGAACCTGTGCTGTATCCAGTCCCTGAGCACGTGGCTAAAGGGAAAAGGGAGAACCCAAAGGGAAAAAAAACGAGCTCAGTTTTCCTGTTTGGTGGATGGGAGGGGTAAAATCCACATTCCTCAAATCGAAAAGCAGATGGAATGTTCTCATTCCATCGACTCCATCGCGATGGGAGGAACCCTCCTAATCAAGGAGTGCTTGCCTGGACCATCCAGCACAGGAATGTTGGCAGGAGCAGGGCCTAGAGGTGTAAAACCCAACCCCAATGACAAAGAGGAGGCTGCTGGGATGATGTGGGAGGTCCCAGGGCTGTGGATGTGATGAACATCCCCCCATGCAAAGGGGCTACTTCCCCACGGACCGAGGAAGGGATTAAGGGGAATCCACCTGAAATTTTCCACAGGGATATTCCAGAGTTTTGGAAGGGGATCTCGTTTTTCACCCCTGCATGTCATAACTGACCACGCTGTGCTTTGGTTTGTTTATCTCCTGGGTGGCCCATCATTTCAGGTGAGAAACGAGGAGAGAATTCGTTCTTTAGAAGAATCAGAAACTCTCAAGGATCTTTGCCCAGATCTGGGTGTTACACACCAGTATAGCATTTTGCTACTGTAAAGGATTTTCTATAATGGTTGTGCCTTGTCTTGTGCCTCAGCACTGATATGTATCGACCAGAAAAACTGACTATTTTATGATAATAAAAATGCGGCTTAACTAATGTGACAACTTTTGATCCTGGTCCCCTTCCAAAAGCACTAACCAAGAGATGGAGCTGGGTGATGCTGATGTACAAAGAAGCCTGTTTTGTTGTGTGTTACTGTGTGAATAAACCTTATTTTATGTCGATAGAGGTCCCTCACCAGAGTGAACTGGGATTCAGACTTTCCCCTGGGAATACACAGACACTTGCATTTCACGAGGCAAAAATGTAAAGCTTGAGCAGGTTTTCTTTCTCAGTCCCACCCTGCAGCTCAGGGAACAGCTGGTTCTTCCTTTTTTGTTATTTTTTAGTCTATTTTGAAGGAAGGCAATTCCCTGGGAACAGCAGAAACCATTTTGGCTTCACTCTTAGCCCATGGGGTTTAGGACCCAAGAGAGACAAGAGACAGGAGCCACAGTTCCACCCTCTGACCAAAAAGCTGGGTTTTTCCCATCTCCCACCATGCATAAAAACATGTTGGCAGCTTGGGAATTGAACTGGGAATTCCCAATTGCTCAGCTCCCGGCTGACAGGCACAACCTAGCTAGGAAATTTTGGCCAAATGAGAGTCAGAGTCTTGTTTGAAGGCCCCCTCAGTCCTGTTCCAGCTCGAGCTTTGCTGTCCTTACCCTTTCAGCACAACAGGAGCACCCCCTGGATATGTATTCCTTTATCCTGGGTGCTGTTACCTGCAATTCCTCTGCTGCCAACAATGCAAATGCCCTTCTTGCCACAAACAGAATTAAGAGACATTCTCTCACTGGGCATATTATTTTGTATTTCCAAAACTGATTTTGTTTTCCTGGCTCGAGCTCAGAGTAAATTGCTCAGATTTAAATTGCTGCAGAAGAAGGTTTCTGGCTAAGGGCTCCGTGCTCTGGCTCAAGGAAAGTTTTCATTTGAACACTCTGATGGGGGACATTTGTTTATCCTGGTTTTCCACCCACTAGCAAATCCCAGAGTGGTTTTATTAGCAGCCTCTGTAGATCAGCCAAGAGTTAATTAGACAGTGGGAGTCAGGCTGAGTTTCTCTGTGACACCAAAAGTACACTGTGTTATTTCTCGTTTTATTTTTTCTAACTCCAATACCTACCTCACGCTTAAAAGAACAGCAAAAGCAAATCATAATTTTATTATTATTATTTCCTATTTTAGCTTGAGCTAAGCAGAATTCAGTTTTATTGCCATTTTACTCCATGCTTTGCACATTTAGGGAAATAACTTGAGATGGCACCTCCTTTGTGGTCTAAGCACACTGGCACACACAGTGAGCGTTGTGCTGCACTTTGGCTTCCTTTAATCTTAAATCAAATTAAATTAAAACCTGAAATAGAAGGGGTCTACTCTCAGTAAATTTTTAGGTATTGGGGGTGAAGAGATGAACATCTCTCTGCATGTCCTAGGGAAGGGGGGGATTCTGGAGGTGCTTCTCTCCCAGGGCTGCAGAGAGATGTATAAAGTGGGTTTTGCACCTAAATGCAAGGAAGGGAATAGGAGCTCTTGGTAAAAGGGATGATTCCACTGCACCACCACTCCCAGGTTGGTGGGGTTAGATGTACAAATACACTTCTGAATCTTGAGGGAAGGGTGAACTCCCCCTTCATCCTCTAAAGCTGTTACTCCATGAAATTCCTCCTCCAGGGCAGGACACGAGAGTTTAACTCTCCCGGCCGCAATGCCCAACCCCAGCTGGACCTGCTCCCTCTCAGCCTTGTTCTTGCACCAAGACCCTTTTTTGCCCAGTTCAGCTTCCAGCTTTGAGTTCACTCTGGCAGGGCACGGAGACTTTGTCCCCAAGGAAGAGCTGAGATGGGGTGGGAGGGATCAGGAAGGTCCAATGCCATAAAAACCTCTGCTCCCAGACAGGTGGCTGAGTAAGGGATGTCTTTCCTAACCCACCCGGCATCTGCCAGGAGGGTTCTCCAAGGAAACCAGAGCCCCCTGCTCCATTTCTTTTGGGATTCTTTTTGGGATCTGCTGCCAACCTTGGGCATGATTCTCCTCCCAAGTGTGAACTTTGCAGTGACACTTCCAAATTCCTGTTGCCTCCCAAGTATTATTGCCAAATCCTTTGGGACAGCACAAAAGGCATCACCAGAGAAATTAGAACCTGCTTTATTGAGCAAGAGAAGTCACCAGTGCTTGCGTTTTTTTGCTGAATTATGACCTAAAAGAGCTTTCCAGCTGCTCTCCTCCTTGCACAAATCTAGTGGTGTTCTTCCATTGATCGTAGAGTTTTATATTAAAACGTCAAAAAACGCACTGAAAGCGTTTGCTGCTTATTTATTGGTACTGTACACAGAGATGTCCTGATTTTATGGACCAGAAATTGTAAAATTCGAGGTATAAAGTTTAGAACTGTTACAATTGATGCTATTTCTTTTAGAAATGAAGTTTATAGACTGCTCTTTAAAAATGGACTTTGTGTCTTACAGCAAAACAAAAATAAAATTATTTTTATTCATATTTATCCCTGAGTGTTTCTTTATTGTAATAAACACCCACCAAGTGCTCAATATTTACAGCCAGGAAGGGCAGACATTTACCCATGGCAAAATATATTGTGTTTGCTCAAACATGTAGGGTTGGGGGGGATATAATTTATATAATTTTATATATTTTTATATTATATTATTTTTAGATGTTTCATTTATGTACTTTTATTAAAAGTATAAAATTTATTGATTTTTAATATATTAATATGTTTATTATAGCTTTATTATATCTTCATTAATAGATTAAATTCATATTATAGATTACTGTAGTTATATATTATATATAAATATATTAATTTCATGGTATTATATATTAATAATATCTATTCATTTTATTCCGAATGCACACAGAAAATTATTAATCCTGACATTTCAAGAACTGTGAAATTAAACCCTCTTCATCTGAGGATAGGGTGCAGATGTTTTCACGAGCCTTTAAGGGCTCAGTGGTAAATGAATGAGTACTGGGACTGTAATTTTCAGTTCCACAGATTACATTTTTCTCCTCAAGACATAACTCAATCTCACCTTTATTTTTAAGGGTGTCTAACTCCGCCCCTCCAAAATAAACCCCAGAAATCAGTGTATCCCAAAGATAAATACCCTGCTTTCCAATGAAAAACTCCAATTTAACTACTTGCTGCTCAACAATAAGAAGATTATTTCGTAAAACCTGGACATATTTTGAGATTTCTTTAGAATTTCAGAACACTGAAGCAGAACAGAATTTATATTTCAGACTTTATGGGGATTAACTTTAATTGCTAAGTCTCTCAATAGGATCCATTTGACCGACCTCATAAATTGCTATTTCTGTAAAAAAAGGAAAAATTAATTGTTTTCTACAGTAATTAAATACATTCTCGGATGTCCCCTAAAGGTACAGAGGGAGGTCTAACCTGCAGCCTGGAATTTGGGTGTGAGTCTGGCTTTTTCTAGACTCTAACAGGGATAGGTCGACTCTGTCAGGGGCCATCTCCCTTTCCCAGTCCCTCCTCCTCCTCCCTTATTTGATGAGATTAAACTCCTTAATTAAATAGGAGGGCACTGTCCTGAACTCCAGGAGGGGAAGAGGTTCAGCATTCCCTGAGGATGGTCCAGCCAGACGATGACGAAAGACACACCAGCATCTCCCTGAGTTTTGAGGTCACCCCTGCAGACAAGAGGCACATTCCAAAGTGGAGGGGACCACCCAGAGCTGCCAGGGCTGGGAAATCACACAAAATAGATGTTTGCTCACTGCACTTCCCTTCTCCCACCCTGAAAGCACGGGATGAAAAATTACATCCTTCCAGAGGGGTGGTGAGAGCAGCAAGAGCTGCCCAGGCCCCAGCCCTCCAGCAAGATGACTTCACTTCTCGAAGGAAAGGAAGTGGGACATCTGTATGGAAATCAGGGGAATCTCTGCACCAAAGACAAGGAGATATGAAACAACTTCTTGTCCCAGCAGTGGGACTGCTTCTCTCTGCTGCATCGTGGGCTGGCCAGAAGGTAGGAAAGGTGTTGTGACATGTGGAAAATTCCAGTATCTGAGGGCAAATCTGTAGGTGCACTGAAACCAGACATTCCCCAGGGCTCTGCCACCACATGATGGCACCCCATTGGCTTACCTTCAGAGTGCTTCCCTTCATGCTTCTTTAATAGAGAAGGGCAGGGAAGGAGCATTGGAAAGGACCTTCCCTTCACTCATCACCTGCAGCCAATTCCCACACAAACTAAAAGCACAGCACTGATCCCCTGTGTGTCACACCAGCGGCCAAGAAGGCCAGTGACATCCTGGTCTGTGTCAAGAGCAGTGTGGCCAGCAGGACCATGAAAGGGATTGTCCCTTTTACTGGGCACTGGGGAGGCACCTCCAGTGCTGTGTCCACTTCTGGGACCCTGACGGAAGAGAGACATTGAGGGGCTGGAGTGAGTCCAGGGAAGGGAACAGAGCTGGGGAAGGGGCTGGAGCAGCAGGAGCAGCTGAGGGATCTGGTGGGGCTCAGCCTGGAGAAAAGGAGGCTCAGGGGGGACCTTCTGGCTCTGCAACTCCCTGACAGGAGGGGAAGCCGGGGGGAGTCAGGCTCTGCACCCAGGGAACAAGAGAAAGGAGAGGAAACGACCTCAAGCTGTGGCAAGGGAGGTTTAGATTGGACATCAGGAGGAATTTCCTCATGGAAAGGGTTGTCAGGCTTGGCAGGGGCTGCCCAGGGAGGTGGTGGAGTCCCCACCCCTGGAGGTGTCCAAGGAAAGACTGGACATGGCACTCAGTGCTCTGGGCTGGGGGACAAGGTGGGGATCAGGCACAGGTTGGACTCAGTGATCTTGGAAGTCTTTTCCATCCTTAATGTGATTACTGACCCTCTACAGTCATAAACTAGACTTCAAAGTCATTCATCAGGCAGGTTCTGTTGAGCCTGCTGTGGTGAATCTGTTATTTCTCAGCTCCTAAATTACAGCCCCAATTTCCAGCAGGCATTTCTGCACCCATTCAGAGCCACGTGTGTAACCACAAACCAATTTTTTTTTTGGCAAGCCCAGCTTACTCTGGGAAGATTTTCTTGCCTCAGTGGGGCACCACAGGGTCATGCTTTGGGGCTATAATTGCAGCAATGACACCATAGCTCTTTAGAGGTTTTATTTTATTTTATTTACTCTCGTGGCAGGATCCCAAGATGTAGCTAAGCAAAGCCCCACTATTTTTAGAAAAGCTACTGGGTAAAGCAGAGTGCTGTCACACTTGCAATAGGAAATTTTCATGCCATTTCTTCCCAGAGAAGTCTTACAGCATCACTGGGTGGATCTCCCAAGAGAGGAGGAAAACTGTACCTGCCCTTTGCTTTCTGGAAAATCCCAGAGGGAATCACCCAGGCTGAGCACGGCTGTGTGACAGCAGTGCCACCACCCAGCCAGCAAAAACTGCTGCCACCTGCACTGCATTTGCCCCTGGTTTCTGTCACCCAGCTCAGGTCATCACTCCCCCAGAGCAAAGCAAAGGAGACCCCAGGCAGGTTCCTGGGACACTCCAAGCCCAGGGTGGGAGCTGGGCCATTTCTCCTTTAAGGATGGACATTGCCAGCATGCAAAGCTTCAAATGCTAAAGCAGTGTCTTGATTTCATCATTCACGGCTTTAGGCCCATCCTCTGCTAGGTTGAGCCTAATAATTCCTATGGAGGGGGGTCTGTGGCCCCTCCAGACAGTCCCTGCTCAGTTCCCCCTCTGCTATCCCTGCAGAGGGAACTGCATCCCCCAGCTCCACAGCTTCCCAAGGTCCCTCTGCTCCCACACACGACACCCTTCCCTTTGCAGACAAGACACAAAACTCAGACTATTTTACCTTCACTGCACATCAAGGACTGTCTGATGTCAGATCTGCTGCAAACTAATCAAGGCTCAGTCATTTTAGGTTTATTGTTACCCAGCTTAGAGATGAGCAGGACATTGACAGCTTCAGATCATGCTTCACTGGACACACCCAGACCTCTCTGAGGGGCTCTGGTGGCCTTTGGTGGCCTGAGGAATCACTAACTCAACATCTGGGAATATCCCCCTGCAGTAGCTTTTCCCAATTTGTGGGTAAGCAACTCTCTGCCACTCAGAGGCCAAAAAGAAAAAAATCCCCAAAATATTTTAATCTATTACAAGTCCAGTCCTAGTACAAGTTCAGCTCAGGATTCACCTCCAAACACACCACTTTGGGCAAAATCAGAGGTTGATGTGAGGAAATGGCAGCTTCAGTGGCAAAACCTTTCCTGGGAAAGGTTTCTCCACTCAAAACCAAGGTTTTTCCCAACATCCCTGGGGGCAGACAGGGATCTCACTGTGCTGGTTCCTCTGGCACAAGAGTCCAAAGACTGAAGGTCCTTATCAGGGAACATCCTAAAATATCAGCCAAGTGGTCTGGTGAGGCCAGTGCTCGAACAACAGTGGCAGAAGATGCTGTTTGGGGAGGACATGGAGATTTGACAACTGTTTGCTTAATTTCCCTCCTTTCCTGTTGCATCCACACTCACATCTGTTACAGCAATGGTTTCAGGTTCCACACCTATTCCCTTAAGTATTAAATTCATGAGAAACAGGTCCATGAACAGCCCAACCACTTCATAACAAGCTGGCATCATCTGTTCCCTCAACTTCCTGTAGCAGATTCCTTCAATTCTTTACCCACTGATGAGAACACTCCTATCTGTCTAAATCTGAAGATGAGAAGAGCCCTTAAACCTTCTCATGAGATCAGCCTGGGACAGGTTCTCCTCCTTGGCTGAAGCTCTGGAACACAGCAATTAACGTCAGGATTCATGTTTCCTGTTGTTTATCATTCAGCAACCTGCACCACATGAAAGAAACCTCACTGGAGGCCACAATCAACCTTCTCTCCCTCCCACGTGGATAAGGGGCCAACCTGTGTGTCTTCTTGGCTGCCACACCAGTCCTGGAGGCACAGGAATGAGCATGGGTGCCAATAGCCCCCAAACTTGGCTCACTGCACCATGAGGTCATTCCCCAGTGAGCAGGGAGCTCTCTGATGACACCCTGAGACAAGGGGGGGACACTGGGACACCCTTAGTCAAAGAAGGATGAATAATGGATAATGTCAGCCAGCTCCCAGACTCTGGTAAACACCACTGAACAGGTTATTTCCATTTCCCCTGCCATCCCCCCAGTCTTACACGTCATCGATCTCTGGTCTATGAGCCAGACAGCTGAGCTCAGCCAGGACATTGCTGCCTTGTCACTGTTTTTGGTGGCTTTCCCATTTTGCTCTTCAGCAAAAATAAATATTTTTTGTTTGCTTTCCCTTTTCCCCTGTTGACTTTGGGAGTGCCAGAGCCAGGGATTATGACTGGGAGCCCACCCAGTTCTTTGGAAGCTGTGCTCCAGGGATTAG